TTTTATTTTTCTTTGCTCCAGCAAATGCTGACTTATTAAGCAGGGAAATGTATTAGAAATGAAGTATAATAAACTGGATCTGAAGAGCAGCCTGGCTTGTGACAGTGCTTTCTGCCCAACCCACTAAGACCCTTCTCCCTGTCAGGGGCGTACCTAGAGCATTTGGCACCCGGGGCGGATCCTGTGCTTGGCACCCACCCCCTCCCCCACCCCCCCCCAAAAAAAACCTGTAAAAAATGTTAAAGGTTTTATTTCTTTTATTTTTACAATTTGTAAACTTTGCAAAACCGCTGTCAGCCCCTCCTACAAAACCCTTGTCCTGTCCTGCCCCTCCTACAAAACCTCTGTCCTGTCCCTTCTACAAATCCTGTACTGCCTCGTCTACAAAACCCCCGCAACCCCCTTCCACAAATCCCCTGCTTATCCCCCCTTATAAAGACTCCTGTCCCAATACAAAACCCCCACCCCCTTCTACAAAATCCCTGCAGCCCCACACACACATTTACAGGCAGACAGTCACACACTCAGTTACAGACACAGTCACACACTCAGTTACAGACAGACAGTCACACACTCAGTTACAGGCAGACAGTCACACACAGTCACAGGCAGACAGTCACACATACACATTTCCTCTGTGCCAGTTTATCAGCTGTTTGCTTGAGCGAGCTGTACTGGCCGCACGGCACCCTAACTACCATGGGACACTGTGTGGCCACAGCTCACACAGCTCCCTCCAGCCAGGGCCGGTACAAGGATTTTTGCCGCCCAAGGCAAAAGTAAAGTTTGCCGCCCCCCCATGTGACATCACAATGCCCCAGCCATATGATTTGCCATGTTAACTAACGCCAGTGCTGCAGTGTTAACTAACGCCAGTGCTGCAGTGCAGCCGTGTTTACATTAAAAGGCCTGCAGGGACAGGCTATAGACACCAGAACCACTACATTAAGCTGAAGTGGTTCTGGGAACTATAGTGTTTCTTTAAGGTGAGGTAAATTAGAAGACTTAGATTGCCACGGAATATTATACTACGGTGCCTGCCCACAACCAGATGGGGATGATGATGGGCTCTCGCTGCAGTCACAAGCTCCACTGGTCTGGTGCAGAACAGGCTCTCTGGGCGGTTTTGCTTTATGGTCACAAAATCAATGTTCTGGGAGAGCGGGGAAGCAGCTCCATTTTTGGGGGGCCTTTTACACAGCTCAGGTCTGGGTCCCAGGGTCCACATTCATGTTCCACCAATGAGTTTGTTCACAGGGGGTGGAGTGTGTAGGGGATGTCCTGATGTGTGTAAGGAATGCATTGTGTGAATCTGTGTTTGTATGTGTAAGGGCTGCAAGGTGTGTTTCTGTGTATGTACAGGATGCAATGTGTGCATGTGTAAGGGGTGCATTGAGTGTGTGTAATGAATGCATTGTGTGTTTCTGTGTGTGTAAGGGATGCATTGTGTGTAACAGTTGCATTGCTTGTGTATGTGTGTCTGTGTGTGTAATGCATTGTGTGTTTTTCTGTGTGCAAGGGGTGCATTGTGTGTATGTGATGAATGTCAATCTCTCCTCCCGCTCCAATTTCCTTCTCCTCCTCCCAATTTCTCTTTCTCTCCCCGCCTCCTAATTTCTCTTTCTCACCCCCCTCCTAATTTCTCTCTCACCCCCGCCCTATTTTCTCTCACCCCCCCTCCTTTCTCACCCCCCCATTTCTCTTTCTCACCCCCCCTTATCTCTCTCTCACCCCCCCTTATTTCTTTTTCTCACCCC